GCAACATGGCCAGGGCAATAGGGCACAACCTGCCCATTGCACAGATTTGTTAACCATGGATGCAGACAGGAGCCCCCAGCACCTGACACCAATCTTCTGCCATGAGCGCAACCCTGGCCTGGCACCTGATACCAATCTTTCAGCATGCAATCAGGCAGCATGGCCTGGATTTAATCTTGGAAAGTAGAAAAGACAGCAGCCATGGACTTTGCTGCCTCTTGTTCTTGCTGTGCCTCATCCTGTGTATAGGATGTATTTTCTCTTTTTCCTTCAGGGTACCTTTTCTCCTCAAGCATTTCTTTTGCCCTAAAATAGATGTTATGCTTTCACAATCACCAGTTGTTCTGTCCAATTCAATGGACAGGGCAGTAAGATCCCGGAAAGCATTGCGGGTCACTACAGCATTGGGTAATGGGTGTGCACCACTGCGCCAGGCTCACAAGCCCACTTCTTACACCAATCACTGTGGCCAGAATGAGTTCTGACCATGGCCAAAGTCAGAGGTTGACTCTGCTGCAGGGGAAAGTGGGAGAAATCCTAATAGGCAAAATAGAGGAGACCCAAAATAGGCCTCCCATCTTCACCTCATACCAAAGATGTTGGTTTCAAAGATTAGAAGAAGTCTAAAGACAAGAAGAAAGATGGAAAATTTGCAATTTTCAGACTTCATGGTCTCATGGTATCCAAGCAAAAATAACTCTCCTCTCTCTTGTTTTGTTGGTTCACAGGTGGTAGAGAGTGGAAAATCTCAGGACCGAGATTCTGGGCCTAACCAACCCTAGGAATTAGCTATTGACCTGATCAGGCAACTTCTATCGCAGGCCTGTTGATACCAAGGCTAGAGTGCTAGACTCGAGCTGCCATAGCTAAACATAAATGAGCTTAAGTCCCCCATTTCTGGTTTTTATAATGGTATTTCTCAGCATTAGTCTGCTATTGCATGGAGGGTACCCACACCAGGAGCTCCTGTGATTTAGAGTCACACATCAGTTTTATCAAAATGAGTCCATGTGTAGATGTTCCTAATCTCTAGAAAAAATATTTAATTTTGGAAGTCATTTAAAAAGATGATTGTTTTTAAATAATTAACATAAAAATATATAATCATCACCTTTACCGTGGCCATGTGATTTAAGAGAATGAATTTGTACCCAGAGAATGAATCAATGGAGAGCTAACTGAGCCAAAATTCATTATAGTTAGAAGACATAGAAGTGATGAAAGAAATTAATGGTCAGACTGGCAAACCCAGATTCATACATGTGAAAAACAATTTAATTTGGAAAATGTCATCCATCATATTAATGCTAATAAGTCTAAATATATTCATTACACTGTTTTGTTTATATATAACATGAAAATTGGTTTTCGTTTGTACTTGTAAAGGAGCTAAAAGCACAGAGTCCATATTTTATTTTTGAATATTAAAAGTCACAATGAAAATAAATTATTCAATGCTAAGAAGCCACAGGAGGATTTTTTTTTAGTTGTACATTTGTAGGGGGTTAATTGGATACCCCCCAAATTCACATTCATCCAAAAACTTTTTGGAAAATATGACCCTTACAGATGAAATTAGTTTAAGATTTTAAGATAAAGCCATCCTGGATTTAAGATTGGATCCAATCTAATGGGAAGAGGAGATGACACACAGACAGAGGCGAAGGCTGTGTGAAGATGCAGGCAGATTGGAGGGAGGTAGCTACAGTCCAAGGGATTCCTAGGTCACCAGAAGCTAGGAGAGGCTTAGAAAAAGGGTTTCCCTGTGGAGCTGTTGGAGGGTGACTGCTCTTCCAGCACCTTGATCTCACGCTTCTAGCCTCCAAACCCATGAGAATAAATTTCTGTGGTTTTTCAGTCACCTAGTTTTTGATAATTTGTCACCACATTCCTGACTCAGCAGCAGTTTCTACTAAGCTCACCTAGAATAGTTTGCATGTTCCTCCTGAAAAGATGCTCTCTGGGAAGTGGGTTGGAATTTGTGGTTATTTGTCTCCCAGTACAGGAAAGTCTTCTATTTACCCTGTGGGCCACACATGTTTTTAAAAGTTATAATTTTTTAATGTACAAATATGTAGATGTATTTGGAAGCTCTAGGAAATACTTTGTTCACAAGCACCGTGTCTTGTGGATCCATGTGTTCTTACAGCACCCTACTTATTGGCATTCAGAAAATAGCCAGGGAGCCAGGGATTTAGCTCAGTAGTTCTGGTGCCTGCCTCGCAAGCGAAAGGTCCCGAGTTTGATCTCCAGTACAAAAAAGAAAATAGCTAGGGAAGTACAAATTCCAACCATTATCAGACACAGACACACTAGAGATGTGGCTTTTCAATTATTGCCTTCTGGCTCAGTCCATTCAAGCTTCTATAACAAAATACCATAGAGTAGGCAGTTTATAAGCAACACAAACTCATTTCTTACAACTCTAGCATCAGGGAAGGGTAAGAATGAGAGCACTTTCTCACTGCATCCTCACCTAGTGGAAGGGAAAGGGAAATACAGCTCTCTGGGCCTTCTTTTCTTTTGGTACCAGGGATCGAACTCGGGACCTTGCGCTTGTGAGGCAGGCGGCAGCACCACTGAGCTAAATCCCCAGCTCTCTGGGCCTTCTTTTCTAAGGGCTCTAATCTCATTCATGAGGGCTCCACACTCAGGACCTAACCACCTCCCGGAGTCCACACCTATAATACCACCACTTCCGTGATCTGGCTTCAGCAGAAGAACCAGGATGAGACACATACTTGGGCCACAGCACATTCCAAGATCTAGACTATATTCCCACCAGATCCAGCTGTCAGAGTAGGTCTAGGTCTAAGCATCAGGGCTAAGAAAATGGATACCGATGAGAAATTAGAGACATTTATAGCTAAGTGGATGCACATTGAGGCCATACTCTTAAGTGAAATAAATAGGACACAGATGTGTAAATACCGAATAGTTTCTCTGGTGTGAGAAACTGAAAGTGTAAATAAGGACTAAATGTGTAATAGGTCATGTGAAATAGGAAGAAAAGGGGCAAAGGGGAAGGAAGTGGGAGGGCTAGGGGAAAGGATAGAAGGGAATGGGATTAATATGAGAAAATGGAAAAATAGGAACAAAATCTTTGTAAATAGGGAGGAATGGAGGGGTTGAAGGGAGGGCTGGGCAAGGGTGAAAAATAAGAACCAAGAGAGACTATGTAAAGGTGCAAATTTCCAATGATGAATGTCATTATATTGTATACCTAAAATGTACCAATGATTAGAATGAATAATCGATAATGTAAAATAGGAAGAAAAGGTCCAAAGGGGTAGGGGTAGTGGGAGGCACAGGGGAAAGGAAAGAAGGGAAAGGAAAAAATGCTGAGAAATGGAAAAAATGGAAATAAAGTCTTTGTAAATCGGGAAGGGTGGAGGACGTGAAGGGAGGGCTAGGAATGGAGAAAAAATAAGAACCAAGACGCATTATATAAAGGTACAATTCCCAATGAGAAATGTAATTGTGTTGTATACCTACAATGTACCAATAAAAGAATTTAATACAAAAAAAATGGATACTGGCATAGACAGGAATTTTCTACAGGCAGCAGTCAGCTGGGTAAAGTTGGCATCCTTCTTCATTATATTGGTTCTTCTACCAGGGAGATGAAAAGTCTTAGGAACACTCAGTATTACTGGACTGTGGAAGTCTCAAGCTGAGAAATCGAGCATACCCATTAGGCAAAGACAGGCACTAGGACAATGCAACATTGTGACGATGTTGTCCTGCCACAGCAGCATGACTTCTCCTCTGATGATGAAAGCAACCTGGTAAGAATTAGGTGAAAGAAGAACCCTGAGGTTGAAAAGGAGCGGGGAAGGTGAGTGGGGAGTATTTAGCCTCAGCTCTGTGACTTTCACTAATAGTTTTATGGCTCTTTCTAAACCTCAGAACATGATGGTCCAGGTTGTAGCACCAAGGGATGACTTGTGTGGGCCTTTAGCCTCCATGATATCCTTTAGCCTCCATCCCAGAAGTCATCCCGAGTAAACATACAATCTAAATAAAAATAGGAGCCTGGTTAGACAGAAGTAGAATATTCAAGACAAACTCCTAAGCTCCCTTTCCCAGCTCAGTTATTGCGCTCAGGCCATATACAGAAATTTTGGTGCTAGTACATGTGCTTCTAATTCCAATCATGCCTCTAATTCCACCATGACTCAAACCTGGAGATTGCTCTGATTGCCCTGGGTGGAGCCTGAACGGCCTCATTTTTGCAGTGGTGCATATTACTGCTCAGGCCAGGGCCCGTGTAGGATGTGACACTCCTGAGCACACCATGACAGCTGTGTGCAGACCTGGAGGTGGCAGCAGAGAGTGTGACTATAACCACTTGCCGTGGCTTGCAGTCCACCCCAGGAGCACCGTAGACTTGATATGGAATTAACTCTTCAGGCAGCAGCCCTCGAAGGCCTTCCCACAACCAGGCAGGACACGAATGATTCCATCTCTGATCCTGTGCCTTCAATGGAACACTGGTCTCCAGGCTGAATGTCCCTCCCTTCTGATCCTTGACATAATCATGTGCAATTCTATATATTAGAAAAACAACAGTTTGAAGTTTCCCACAAACCCTGAACCAGAGGCCTATTGTGATTTTCTTTAAATGTTTGCAAACTGTTTTATACTCTTCTTGTCAAGTGATGAAGTATGTCCCTGCCATTTGACCCTAGGTAGGCTTCTCTGCTGCCTGATGAACAGAACATAGCAGAAGTGATAATCCCTGACTTCCAAGTGAAATTAGAAAAAGTATACAGCTTCAGCCAGCTTGAGGATGACTGTTCTAGAAAACATCAGCTGCCATTTAACAATCTAGATACTCTGGGGAGATTCATGGAGTGACTAAATAAATACTTTAGGACCCTCAAGTGTTCTTGCCCCCAGCATCTTGAGTCTTGCCAGCTCAGGTGCCAGAAGTTCTCGAGATGAGCCCAACCTCAGCTACCACCTGACTGCATCCTTGTTGAGAGATCTCAGCAGAACTCAGCCAAGCAGCTTCCTATCCTACTGAATCTGAGGCAAGAAATGCTAGTTGATACCTCTGTATTTTGGTAATTTGTTATGCAACATTCCATGACCAGAGCCTGAGACTAACAAGCAGTTCAAGAAACCCCAAGAGATTCTTGGAACCACTCTCCTGAGGATAGGAGGTGAGTAAAAGATCCTGCAGCTCCAGAAGCTAGAGGCCTCTCTGCTGCTGAGGCAGAGCCTTACCATAGTGAAATCGGCAACAGAAAGTGATGACCATCTGCTCCCAATTGTCAGAGTAAGGATGGAAGCTTGGAGAACTAAGTAGCAAATGATGGATGCCATTCTGCCCTGGTGGCTGCAGAGAGGGGGCTAGCTGGGGAGGAGTAGGAACTGGACAAGCAGCAGGGTTGTTTGGTGTTTTTTCTTTCTTTCTCTTTTTTGTTGTTTTTTGTTTTTTGTTTGTTATAGGCCCTTAGCACTGAGCTATATCCCCAACCTTTCAGAATTTTTTTTTTCTTTAAATTTTGCAACAAGGTCTTGCTAAATTGCTAAATTACCTAGATTGGACTCAAAATTGTAATTCTCCTGCATCAGCCTCCCAGAGTACAGGATTACCAGTGTGCCAATGTGTCGTTTTTAAGTTATTAACTTTCAAGTTCAAACTTTCTTCTCTGCGTGGCTTTGTGTAGTTGGGCCAGCTGGGTCCCTTTGTGGCCCTCCAGGGGCCTCTAGAGGTCGCTTGAAAGGCTGGAGTAGGATGAAGAAGGCTCAGGAGGGATATCACCTGAGCAAAACCTGCTCACCCGGACAGGGCCCTGGCCTTCCCACAGCACCCACTGAATCTGCTTCCTAGGTTTGTTCCACAGAGAAAGCCAGCTCCTTTGTACCTCCCCTGAGCATTGCTTCCACCTGCCCAGGATTCCGCCTCTAAGTTCCCAAGTTGAGTGATTCCACCTGCATCCCTTTGTTCCCTTGGGGGCAGGGGGTGCTAGTTATTTCCTATATAGCTGTGATTTCTGTGACACCTCGGAGCCCTGTCTTTCCCTTCTCAGTTATCCAGTTAACAACTTCATACCTGTTACTGCACATAGGAGCCAACACTACGGCACTGGGTTTTTGCACAGCTTTATTTTATAATTAACCAGCTGGAAAGGAGGCTGAGAGTTAAAAAGGAGTTCAAATCTGTCTCCTTGATCAGGTGATAGCAGGTACTGTCTAGGAGGACAGCTGCTTGTGATTGGATGGCAATATGGAGTTGTTTTAGGGTTCATTTGAAAGACCTAAACTCATCATGAGTCTTCATTGGTCATATATTTCTTTGCCAGACAGTTCTCAAGTTTTGCACAGGGGATTTTGAGCTTTTCTTTTTTTGGTACCAGGGATCGAACTCTGGACCTTGCACTTGCAAGGCAGATGGCGGCACCACTGAGCTAAATCCTCAGCCAGATTTTGAGCTTTTGATGCCTTGCAAAGCCAGTTCCAAACCCTCTAGAGGCTTTTCCTGAAAGATAACTCAAGAACTTTGTTATTTAAGGAATTTATGTCCAGGTGTGTCCAGACCCTAGCTGACTTTGTGTTTACTTGCATTGTTACCTTTTTTTCCTGTTTTGTTTTGTTTTGTTTTGTTTTTTAACTTGCCACGGTTTCTGTCTCCTTCAAGGACCCTGGCTAACACAGAAGCGTTTCTTTCAGAGGTAATCTGTGATCCTAACAGAGTTTAGGGTAACTGAGGATTCAGACATTAAAGAAACTAAGTTCAAATTCCAAATGTAAGGACCAGAGACTGCATGTGAAATAGTAACCCTAAAGTTAGAAGGTTAAAATAAATCAAAATAAAGACAAAAGCAATCAAAACAAGAGTAGGGCAGGAACAAGATTATTGCTATGAATGTGATTATCCACCCACCTACCTGCTTCTTTCCCACCCCTAGCCCCTAGAATATATACATGTTCTCCCCTAGAATATATATATATTCCCTCCCCTAGCCTGCTGTGAATATATATATATATATATATATATATATATATATATATATATATTTTTATATATCAGCAGAGTGAGGAAACTTGGGTTAAAAATAAATCCCAAGCAATGAGTTGTCTGGGTGTAGGATTGGTGGATTCTAAGAGCAACCTGTGAAGTGACTCCTAATACATGTTATCTAAGATCATAGAATCAGAGAGACGCGAAGAGACCCTTTCTTGCCATGTGGCTCTTTTTGGCCATCCACATCTACTCCAAAGACCAGAACCACCTTGAGACTATGGTTGTGAGAGCATTTTCTCAAAACACCCTCAGATGTACTGTCTGAACACGGCAGAGCAGAATGCCCATCAGCCTTCCCAATGCCAGTCTTGTCCATCAGGGACCCCAGAGACCTCCATGTGGTTGCCCCCATGACCTCCAACTCACCCTGCTCAGGAGTGGGTTCCATCTCTTTGTTACCCAGTTTTTCCCAGGCAGTAAGCACTGGATCCCTTCAGTGTAGCCTTCATAAACAGGAACCCGGTATGATCCTAGCATCTTCCCTTCTTGATTCTTCTGTTTTTAAACTGTTTGAATAATCTGTGTGACATTATCAGTGAACAAAATGACATCTTACTGCCTAGTTGGGGTGGGGGGGCGGGTAGGAGGTGGCCAAAGATAAATCTGGGAAAGAACTGTTATCTAAATGTCTCTCTTAGAGAGGACGTTGTGAGAGATCAAGGGAATGAGAATGGGCCTGGGGAGAAGGAACCTGAGGAGGGGATTCTGAAGATCTCCAGCTCTTATATGCAAGGAGAGTTTAAGGACACAGAGCTCTAAGGGCTGTTGGACTCATGTTGCCCACTTGTCCTGAAATCCAGAAACCTCCTGTCAGGAAACTCTGAGGAAGCCACAGACTGAACCATCCTTGGAACAAAGGAAGTTGTATGTGTTTGTGTTTGTGTTTGTATCTGCTTTTTTTCTGTCTTAAAGTGATATCCTTCTTAATTGTATTGTTTTATTTGTAATTTACTACCTACAAAGATGAACACATTAGCACACTGGGAGGAAAAGAAATACACTAAAAGCCCATCTTGGAATATTCACAATACTTCGGATTGTAGTAAAGTTATATTTCCAACCAGACCTGGTACCTGTTATACAAAAGTAAGGCAAAATGTAGACCCTGAGCCACTGCTTTTCCAATTCACTTCTCCTCCCTAGATTGGTTCTACCTGGATTAGACTCCTGCTTGCCACTGCTCTGAGCTCTACCCAGCAAATCTGTTTACTGACCCTGGTCTGTCCCCAGTCCTAGAGTTCAGCACTGAAAACCATCCTGCTTGACTCAATCCCTCCCTGATACCTCTTCTGGTTCCCATGAGTCTCCCATCCACTGCAGGGTCTGATGCTCTGTTATACCTGCCTCAGCTTGCTAATGAGTCTGGAAGGAAGTTCAGGAAATCTACTAGAATTTGAGTAAGATCTACCTACTCAACAGTCAAATTAATTTGCCAGATTCTGGAAGTAATGCTTTACACTTTACACACCACACAAGTGTGAGATTATTTTCTTTGGACACTGCCTTTGCTCATCTTTATTGGAAGCAGCCACTATATTTAGAGCAATACTTCTATCTCCATTTGGTTTCCCAGTGGCTTTTCAGTGTACTCTCATTCATGTTATGAGATTTCCAATGTATTAGCATGTATATATAGAAGCTACGACAGTGGACATGATAGCCCAGGCACACAATGTAAAGAATGGGAAGAGAAGATGTTCAGTATCTGTTTGGGGTGGGGGCATATAACAAATCTGTGATTAGCAAGACATTCAAAAGCCAGAACAGGAAGAAAAACTTCAGCAATTTTTCAAGGATACTTAAAATTATGTGGAACAGACTGAATTTTTGACAAACTTCACAAAACCTGAAAGTCACTTAGAAACTCCTTTTGAGATTTTTAACTTTAAACAAAACAGTTTCCTGACACAGAAAAAAAAAAGGCTAACATAACTGTAAAACAAAAGATTAACAGGCTAAAATGTATTCTTTTGTCAGCATCTTTTTTTTTTTGTACAGGGGACCGAACTCAGGACCTTGAGCTTTCGAGGGCATTATGCCACTGCTAAATCCCTGGCTCCTGTCAGCATATTTTTTTTGAAAGTCACATAGAAAACATTGATGAAGATGTGAAATAATTATCAAAACAAGTTACTTGGTATTGACCATGCATTTGGGTGAAAGTACAAATGTTCCAACATATCTCAGCTTATGGTATTTGTTAGATTCTACTTTAATAATATCTTAGTTACTTTTTCATTGCTGGGACAAAATACCCCACACCCAAAGTTCAAAGAGAAAAAGGTTATTTTGGCTTACAGTTTGTAAAGGTTTCAGTCCACAGTTGGCTGCCTCCAAGGCAGGCTGGCATGGCAGAGGGGCATTGTCAAGGAGAAACAGTCTATGGAAAAGCAGGGCAGGCAGAAGGCAGCAAGCAGTGAGGGGCAGTAGCCGCAGCAGTACCTTCTTTCTGTCTCTTCATAATCTACCTAGGCTACCTGCCTTTTGGGTGGTACTACCCACACCCAGGGTGGGGCACCCTTAATCCTAGCATCACACACCCTAATCCAGCCACCTTCAGAACTCCCCACCTATGACAACATGAGGCTTTGTGGGGACATCTAGATACAAACCATAGCAAATACATTCTTGAAGTTACATTCTTGAAGAACTTCTATTTTTGTGAGGCACTTTAAAGAAAAGTTATAATGAGCTAGGCATGGTAGCATATGCCTGTAATCCCTGCTATCTGGAAGGCTGGGGCAGGAAGATCACAAGTTCAAGCCCAGCTTGGGAAACTTAGCAAGACCCTGTCTCAAATTTTAAAATGTTTTAAAATGTCTGTGGATGTACCTCAGTGTGAACCCTGGATTCAATCTCCAGTAGTACACACACACACACACACAAATATAAAAAAGAAAAGAATACAGAAGAATATCCCAATGATAAATGATTTCATAAATAAAAATATTTTATGGAAAAAGTGTTGCTGTATAGCCACTGAATTCGAAAGAGTGAAAGACATTCCTACAAAGAAATAAAAGGACGGATTTGAAGAAACTTTGATAGAATGGTCTGTCTCTATGGTGTTCATGTAATGTTTCACTGATTGGGAGATAATAGACTCAAACTGATGCTAACAGTGCACACTTTGTTACATAGAGGCCACTGATATGTTTAGTTTTAACAAAAACCTTTTCACAGTAGAACGTTGTAAGACAGTAATGAGATGAAGAGTCCTTTGGGACTACATCATAATCCATCTTCTACCAATCAACATTGATTTCCTTTCTTTCTCTGCTAGGGGCACTGTTCCCAAGAACACTCCCTAATTCAATTCCTGTGTGCTGATATCCATTTCAGAATCTGCTTTCCAAGCTGCAACGGTGGAAGAGTGGTTTAGAATGCAAATGCTGGTGTGGGATTGTGAAGATGCCACCAGCCTCCTGGCAGCGAGGACTCTGAACATCAGTATGAGGAATGCTGCTAGTACATAATACAGTACAACAGAGAAGGATGTGGTTGGGGTCCTGGTGATATACTGGATCACCTATTAACATTCCTTTGCTCATTTTGATGGTACATAGACAAACACAGCAGTCATCCTAAGAAGGGTGTGGACATCAGCGTCAGGAGTGAAGGTCTGGGTTATGCCAACAGGTAAGTAGTCATCTAAAGCAGAGATGATGGTTGCGAACGATGCAGTCTAGAAAGGGTAGTGGATGATGAGCAGACACTCAACAGTGGCTCCAACTGCAGTGGTCAGGGCTGTGATCTTGCCAACCTCCTACATATACATTTTCCCCCAGGAAAGAGGTCCAACAGGATCTTGGAAGAGCTCTCCTGAGCCCAGCATGGTGCCACACACCTGTTACCCCAGCACTCAGGAGGCTGAGGCAGGAGGAGCACCATGAGTTCAAGGCCAGTCTGGGCTACATATGAACTGCATAGTGAGACTCTGTCCCAACTCCCCGCCAAAGAGAGACCTTGTCCCCAAATTTAGATGAAGAAGTAGATATGAGTAGTGTAAATGGTAGACATAGTGAAACCTGTGATGTTTCATCCTGACCTCTTACTTTCTTAGCTATTGAGAGTTCCCAACTATCAGCCCCATCTAGAAATTATCCTAGGGTGGAGAAGTCTGCCTTGCTCAAAGTCGTTCCTCTCTCCTCAGGGGTAACTGAGATCCAGTAAGTGGTCAATGTATAGTACAAAGGCCCAGCCCTGTCACCTATTTCAGAATAACACAAAAGGGGTCATCACAGCCTTCTGGGACCCCAAAGGGTTGGCTTGGCCTTAGTTGCGACTGCATCACAGGCCAGCTTCCCCCTCTGTTCAATGCTCACTGCTCCCTTCCCTTCTGCAGTGTGGATCCTGAAGCCATTTCTTCACACTAATCTCCAGCCCACAGCATTTTCCCTGGGAAACCTATCTCAACTGGAATATTATTGGCATACCTGATGAAATGTGAGTACAAAATTTTGACTAGATAATAGGAATGTATCCGTGTTAAATTTCCTGATCTTTAACCATTATACCGTGTTTTTATAAAAGAATGTCCTTTTCCTTAAGAAGCATACACTGAAGTCAATGGGGGTAAAGGCATATAAGCTTTGCAATTTAATGATATTGATTCAGAAAAAAATTTACAAGGAGAGGTAGAGGATTGAAGAGAAAAATGCTAAAAATAGGGAAAATATAAATAACTAATAAATCTGAGTAAAAAGTATAAAGTAATTTATACTCTTCTGGTGACTTTTCTGTAAGTTTTAATTTATATCAGAATAGAAAGTAGTAAGTAAAAATGACCAGATCTCCTCTCATTCCCAGTAATCCTGATTCAATTGGTAGACAATCAACATCTGTATTTTTATTAGCTTCGCAGGGTTGATAATCATTAATATCAGGGGAAAAAAATCAACATTAAACAAGTGATTTCTTTACAATGCGGTGTGTGTTTTGAAACAGAAAGTATAGACTACTCAAGGAAAACAGAGCCTCTCACCTAGTTAATTGGATCAAGGAAGATGTCCTTGAAAAAGTGGCAGTTACACTGATACTTAAAGGAGCACTTAGACCAAGGAGTCTTAGGAGGAAGAAGGGAGTATCCCAAGCAAGAACAGGTTGTAGGAAACTCCCAAAGGAAGAAAGAATGAGCTTCTTGATGGAATTAAGGGTTGATGTGAGTGATTACTGGAGTGCAGACAGCAAGGGGGCACACGGCATGGGGTGAGTCTGAGAACCAGGAGACACATCAACATTTATCTAGAAGACAGCGCAAGGCCGCAGAGTGGTTTTATGCAGAGGAGGAAATTTATCAGGTTTATGTGTTCAAAACATCACTCTGGCTGCTAGGTAGAAAATGGAAGGCAAGAACAGGGGCGGGAAGCCCACTTAAAATGGCTGAAAATGGGGGGAATGAGATGTGGGTGGAATCCAGAGATATTTAGGGTGTAGAATCAATACTACCTGCTACTGATTGGCAATGGGAGATGGGCTAGGAAGAGGGGAGAGTGACTTTCAGGTTCTGGTTGGATAACTAGGCAAGGCAGGGAGCACCTAAGCTTCCTGTCAGTGAGGGCCTTCTTTCTCTCAGGTACTGACAGACATATTACTAACACTCAATAAATATTTGCTGACTAAGTGAATAAGTTAAGTAAATTAGTATGTTTAGAGGTTAAGATTATGTGTTTACTTTTGGAAAGTGAGAATTTCGAGTACCTGTGTGTCCTTTTTTGATATTCTTCTCTGGGGATTGCATAACCTTTCATTCAGTTCTGAAGGTGACCGGTGAAACAATAGCTCCTGCACCATTATTTTGGGACTATGATTCTCCCCAGCATTTAGAAGTTTGAAGTGCCCACGAGACCTTGTATAATCAATATCTCATCACTCTGCGCCTAATTTGACATTTAAATGACACAGTGACTGAATATTGACTTTTACCTAATAGGGAAAATGCCTGGCTTTAATAGTCATCCAAATATCTTTACTTGTTTTTACCACAATACTCATAATTGTCTTTTCAAACTTCTAATTATCGTTTTTGAGCATGAGTTTAACAAGATACGGGGATATCAAATTAGGACATTCTAATAAAAGTTAACTCTAAAAACACAGCACTCTTAAGCAGACAGAAAGGGCTAGGTAGATAATGAGTTTTTTAAAAAGAAAAAAACCCAGAGTAATGAGATCCTCTAAAATCCCAAGGATTTTTACTGCCATCCAGTGGTGGTGCTCTCAGGTGACTGTTACAGAGTCTAAACTCACTGTCTAGGTTTTCCCAGCAGAGTCCTGTGTACTATTCACTCAAGCTCAGTGACTAACATATAATGCAACTTACCATGAAATTTTATATTAGGGTTCCCTGCTTCTGAAAGGAGTAACTTCATTTCCCGCTCTGAAGATTATACATAGGCTTCCATAGTTGGCAAGTTTAATTAACAGTAACTTAATCTAGTCAGAATCTGGCCCATTAAAGCCACTGCCTCGAGCACACATTCTAACTTTGTTCTCCCTATCCCATATACATACCCTGATGGAGAGTAAATTAGTCCTACTAGACATTTAAAAGTTATTTTTTATCTTTCTTTTATAACTGTGGGCTCCTATAGTGACTGCTAGAGCAACCTTATGGAAACAAAAAAGAGAATGGCCAAACCCCGACTCACTGATTTTAAACAAGCAAGAGTTTCCTCAACTCGCTGAAGAAAAAATATTGTTCTAACAAGATTTAGAATAAAAGAAAAGTAATCGGCCTGTGGATATTGCCTACGTTTTATAAAGTACACTTCTTGGCCATGACAAACGCCATCCTAATTAAGTAACACTCATAAAAGTGCTAATGTTTCCTACTTTATAATGCATACATAGAGATGTCTGTGTGCTAATGGTGGGGCTTGTTCACCAAGGTTTGACCTTTCAGTACCCCACGGCCAAGCCCACCCACCAGCTTGTCCATGGTCATCCTCTCTGGCAGGGACAGTTTACCACTGGATAGCTAATACAAGGTCAATCTAGGGGCCAGGGATTTAGTTCAGTGGTGCCACCACCTGCCTCACAAGCTCAAGGTCCAGAGTTTGATCCCTGGTTCCAAAAAAACAAAAAAAAATACAAGGTCAATCTATATTGTGTTTACTGGCATATACAACATGCCAGCTTCATAAGCGAAGTGGGAGAGGGAGCATAAAGTGATTTCCATCCTGTTCGTTTTACAGAAAGATTTTAAGTGATTCTGTAGATATAGTAAACTATACATAGGCATCCGGGTGGAAATCATTGGTTATGCAGCAATAGTCTACTTATCCCTGAAAAAACATAAAATCACATGATTAAAAAAAGTGATGGATCAGCATCTGTGATTCTTGGTACTGGGTAGTCTTCAAAACAAAAGAAATTTACCAGCAAATGAAACCCATATCCTATAGGGGCTACTGGATAGATAGCAATACAATCTTTAAATAAATACTGGAAATCAAAATTAAGTCACTACATGAAATACATTTGAGCAAATTTTTATAAAAATTAATACAAAACACCTACTAAAACAGAATGCATATGAGTGCTTTCCCATACAGCAGACCACAAAAGCCAACTTGGTACATGACACACTGTAAGACAGCATGACCCTCGCATAGCAATGCCTCCCTCAGCTCCTCCATGGACAACATCCACTTTCCTCTGCTTCTTAGTGTTGCAGTGCTCTGTCACTAAAAGAACTATCATTGCTATTGTCTTTTTGTTTTCTGCTCCTTCCTCCCTCATGCTCTATGGAGATTGTTGGACCTTTTCATCTTCAATATGGGTCCATTGGGAGGGAGAGAGGGGTAGAAGATGTATGCTGCCACAGCAGCTACAGTAACTGGTTTTCCTAGATGCAAGGGCACCATGTTTGTCTGTTTAGTGACTGAGTTGAATATTTCCTGCACAACGCCCTCTATAGTTATCTCATGGTTTTTCCTTTGTACCATGGTATGCACTTAGACATGTTTCTTTCGAAAGAAGTCAAGTTATAGTTTCCAGTAATTGGCTGAGTTGCCTCCTTAAAGAGGGGAATGGGCTGGGTTTGATGGTATACACCTGCAATCCCAAAACTTGGGAGGCCAAGACAGGAGATTGGCAGCCTGGCCTACATAGTGAGTTCAAGGCCACCTTGAATGACATAGTAAGACCCTATCTCAAAAATTTATTGACAGATATTAAAGAAAATCTAAATAAATTTTAAAGACTAGAAGGCTCACTATTGTAAAGACGTTTTTTCTCCATAAATTGACCTATACAATCAATGGGACTCTAATAAAAATTCCAACAAGGTTGTGTTTCTGTTTTTGAATTGACAAACTGATTCTAAAATATATATGCTATGGTTTGGAAATGTCCTCCAAAAGCCTGTCTGTTAGTGGCTGTCAGCCTGTGGTGCTATTAGGAGAGTGAAGCCTATGAAAGCCAGGCCATTGAAAGAAAGGCCTCAGAGAAGATTTTGGGCCCTCCACTCCTTCCTGGCTCCCTTTTTGCTTCCCGATGCCATGCAGCCTTTTCCACCATGAGCTCCTGCCATGATGTACTATGGTACCACTACCAGACCAAAGCAACAGGGCCAAATGACCATGGATAGAAACCTCTGAAACCATGAGCCAAAATAAGTCTTTCTCCCTTAAGTTGATTTATAACAGGTATTTGTTACAGCAAAGGAAAGCTGACTGCCACAGTCTACATACAACCAAAGAGGTTAGGAAAATGAACAGACAGCTATGATACGTGGGTAAAGCACTCACCAGCTGCTGTTATGCAGCTATTGGGTGTCCGTCTAAAACACTCAGCTTCCCAAACAGAGATCACAAATGACAACAGTGCCACTGGCCTTGTTAAGTCATTCTAAGGCAATGAACCAATTGTGTGATCATGGTCAGATGGATTAAGGAATCAGGCTAGGAAAGAGAAAACATTTCATATAGGCAAGTTAAAAGAATTGGAAGATCTTTGACACAGTTGGGACCTCAGAGTTTATTGCTGATGAAAAAAAAAAGTTGCAAGAGATAGACTTGTTCAAGATCTGGTAGCTGGCATGGAAGATGGGGAGGCAAGGACCCACACAGGTGCACTAAGATGCCAACTCCACTGCTCTTTCTTGAAGACTAAATGCATATTCCAGGGCATTAAAGGAATCAGCAAGTGAAGTGGCTATGTTCTTGTCGCTCCTTTTTCCATGTTAAATATAAGCCCCATACAGTTCCAATTGCTTCATCTTCTCCTTAGAGTTTCTACATTTCCAACCCCTAGCAGAATCATTTGTTCCTCTTTGTCCTATAACACAGGCTTCTAACTTCCATGAGATTACTTATTTCCTAGCCTTGTGGTAGGAGGGGTTCCTATCTGTCTTCTGAGGGGGCTACAGGGTCCAAGAGTACAAGTTATTTCTTTCCATATTCCCATAGTCCCTTAGGTACAATGCCTTGTGCAAAATAAGC